AAGTATTCATTGATGTATTAAATGCTTGCAAAATGCGTTTCACCAAATTGCCATTTTTTTATCTAATCAAAGAGGCTCTTTATCATCCTTAGGATGCCAAACAAACTATCTATAGTGTGTGTCAGCAAGAAGTAGGTTCTACATCAACTTTTGCCAACTTTCTCCTTGATTTTATGGATCTTGGTTATGGCGCAAAACATGACTTCATTCTCTTTGATAAATTTGTGAGTTTTAAAGAATTTTCTTAGTTTGATCCATTAAGAGATTGTTCAAACATACGATATATAGTTGTTAGTCATTATAAATGATAAATATTTAAGACTTTATAAAGATAGATTAGATATTTTGTCTAATGACATATTGTCTCTTTAACAAATAACTTTTATGTTTCGTCTGATGAGTATTTCACAAAAACATTTTCTTTTAGGAAAATATTTTGTTTGTTATCACTAAAACTTAAGAACTTAAGGAATCTAAGATTATCTTTTGACTTTACACTTGATATGAAAACAAAGTAAGGATAGGTTGTAGAGGATTGCAATGGAGGCCACCAAATGGTTGGTGGTGCTTTTTGGATGTTTTGTGCTATCCTCTTGTGATAGTTGTATAGTTTATGTTTGACCAATACTTAGGTCATAATTTGACTTTTACTGTATGATTGCAATTATATATTTATATTTCTATAGTTATTTTTACATGTATATGTATGTTATATAATACATATTGAGTTATTTGTGAATGTATGATTTTAAGTATTAAATTTTTTGTTGCTAATTGTTCATTCTACAAAGTATGAAATGTGGGGACCATGACTGATCATTACACAAACATTTTTATGCTAGTATTAATAAAAGTTTGAGGAGTGTTATTAACACACTCTCTAACAACCCCACTCTTATTAGTTATAATTTATTTAAAGAGAATCCATAATTTTGTGTTTTTCATCAAATTTTGTAAATTGCACTCGCTAAAATACTTTTAATTTTTAGTGTGTATTATTCTAAAAAAACATTTTTTTAAAAACATTTTTGTAGATTGCACACGCTAAAATACTATTTCTTTTATAAACATTTTTTTTTAATTTTTCTTTATAAATTTCACTTCATAACCTCATACCTTTAATTAAATATAATTTTCGTCCTTTGTATATTATTCTAAAAAAATTATGGAGACACACAAGAATTTTTACGCTAGTACTAATAGAAGGTTGAGGAATATTATTAACACACTTTCTAACATCTTAACTCTTATTGATTATAATTTATTTAAAAAAGTCATTAAATATGACTCATCAAATAAAATTTGTGTTTTCCAATTAATTCCAATCAACCAATGAAAAAAGTACAAATTTTGTATTTTTTAATTATTTTTAATTAAAGTATTTAAAAGAATGTGTTACTAACATTTTTAATTATATGAAGCACTAGCAATATATTCTTTAACATATTCACTTTTATTTAGTTATAATTTATTAAAAATTATAAAATCAAGAGAGATGATTATTAAATAAAATATAAAATCCATTAATTTTTTAATAAATTTTAATCAATAAAAAAGTGTATTTTAAAAAAATGTGACAAACAATATGTTGGAAATAGTCCTCATCGAGACATCGACCAAAACACGTGCATAGTTTATTACATCATTTTTTTTTTCTGGTTGTACTACATCAATATAAGACTTTTTTAATATATTTTTTAATTATTTAAATAATCTGGGCCCATTTTTATTTATCAAACTAATCCATTTTGAGGTCCAGGTGAGAATTCGGTAATCCCGATAACTGATTTCTCAAAAGAATTTTAAAAAAAAAATTTAAAATTCCATTGAAAAATCGGTTACCAGTTTTTCAATTGGACTTTTTTTTTGTTTTTTAAAAATTTTAAAAATTAATTGAATTAGATTTTCATAAATAAAAAAATTTAATATTTAAATACAATTATTTATAAAGAATAATACTTAATAATAAAATTAATATAATATTTATTTATAAATTATAATATTTCCGATTTTAAGATTTTTTTAGTTAATTTCAATTTTTAGAATTATGTATAAAATTAAAATTATGCATAATATTTTAAATTTATGTTAAAAATAAAGAAAATGTTAAAAAATGATTTATTTTAAATTTTTTTAGAATTTTACAATTGATTTTATTATTTAAATTAAATTTATTAAATATAAAAAATTGAGTAATGTAATATAATAATAAATATATTGATTTAGTATTAATAATTATAGATAATTAAATTTATTTTTAAATAAATGACAATATTATTTTATTAAATATTAATGACATTATATTTTAAGTACATTAATTATAATGGTTATATCATTAAAATAAAAATAACTTAAAAAAAATTAAACAAACTTTAAACATTATAGATAAATAACATAAACCCTAAATCATATAACATTAATTGTATAACTTCATTGCTTGGTCAATGTATCTTTCAATCGCTTCCATACCATGCAATAATTTAATATATGTCATCGTAGCATACAATTCGAGACTTGTTAGGTCGTGCAGTTCTATGAACAATGAAAACATACCCTCCACATTTCATCATCCCTAAGATGACACGTTGTATATTTATATATACCACCGATACATGAAATTAGGTATCAGTAGTGGATATCTATGACAACTTTATAATGAGAAAGATTAAGGTTATTATTAATAATTTGCTTAAGTTGGTGAGCGCATGGTCACTTTGGAAGATGTGACACTACAACTGGGTTTAAGGATCAACAGCAAACTAGTCATATGACCAACTTTTTTTGACTAGGATGAATTGTGTTACAAGTTGTTAGGCTTCGTACCTCCGAAAGGGGAAACTCTAGTTGACTCAACCATAAAACTAAAATGGTTAAGAAACCATACAATTACACTACCAGATGAACCTAGTAAACAACAATTGCACCAACATTGTAGGGCATATATTAGGGTTGATTGGTGATGTCATTATGCTAGACAAGTCATGTAACAAACTTCACTTAATGTATTTACCACTATTGACTGACTTGGAACGTGCAGGACGATATAGTTGGAGTTCTGCTTGTTTGGCACATTTGTATAGAGAAATGGGTAGGGCAATCTATCAATCGTCAAAGAAAATGGGTGGATGTTCTTTGCTTCTACAGTCTTGGACTTGGTATCGCATGCCCTTCACCCAACCAAGAGTCCAACAAGATATTACATTTTTGCTAGCATCAAGGTATGAATTAATTTTTATACCACTTTAATACATCGAACAACTAAAATTTTTTACCTAAAATTTTATCAATGTACAATTTTTTTTAGGTGGTCAGGAAGAGGGCTAAGATTTACAGGCACACCTTATGGAGACTTACTTGGCTACAGATTAAGATATGACAACATGAATCGTAACGAGGTAATACAATGTCAAATTCTCTTACACATACTCTTTTTTATTCAATTAACTTATACCCTAAACCTTTTTTCTTTTTCAATTTCTATGGATGCCATATAAGAAATTTCAATCCTCACTGCCAACACGTGCTTATAAGGATTCTAGAATATGAACTTCTTGTACTGCTTTAACTTCAATTGCAGTTGTAGTCTGCATCAAAGTGACAGAGTCCAATTACAATTTGGCTTGTGGCAACCAATCCCCAATGAAGCCCATAATCTTGATAAAATGCACGAAATAGACATGAGAGGACATGTGACACCAACTGGGCTGAACAACATGCAGATTGGATTTCCAATTGGAAAGACAGACACAAACATGTTATTTTTAGGGAATCACTTCAAGGGCCTCTCCAACACGTACCTGAGTATTTGTAATGATTTCGTGCTAATTCAAAATTATTTCTTTGTAGCCAATATTCTTCATCTCGTGCATCCACTTCTAGTACACAACTCCCAACAACTATAGAAATAACATCCCTAGTGGCTAGAGATAACCACCCACTTTATAGTGTGGAACAACATCCTCAGTCTCTTTCAATGAATCCACTATTTCATATGCACCATGAACAATTCATGTACAACCCATCATCAACAACAACTCCAACAGGGAACTTCATGAGCAATATTTTTTATGTCGACGTACACACGCCACAAAGTGCATATAATTACATGCAAAGCATGAATTTTGCTTTATTTTCTTCTTACCACTCTCAGGTCGGTAGAAGTGCTTCGTCGAATCTAGACACTGATATTGTTAATATAGAACATGACGAGGAGCTAGTTGAATCACAACAACCACACATTGGTCGTCGAAACGCAACAAGGAATCAACAACCTCCGAGGTGTGGAACTGGTGGGCGTAGACATCATTAAAGTTGGATTGTAATTTGGTGGATTGTAATTGTCTTGTTGTTGTCTTTTATTCAATCTCCTATTTTGTTGTTGTTAATTTGTTCTTATTTAAAGTTGTTCATCTCAATTAAAGCTTTTATTTAAAGTTGTGATTTAATATAATAATATTGTCAATTATTTAAAATTTATGTTTAATATTAATTTTATTAAATTTTGTTCTTTAAAAATTATTTAATTTAAATATTAAATAGATGTTTTATATTCTAAAAATTAAACTAAATGAATTTTTTTAAAATTAATTATAATTTTTTTAAAATTTAAAAATAAAAATTTGAAAAATGAAAAAAAATAAGAAATCTGAAAAAGAAAAAACAAAAAAATGCAAAAATAAAATAAAATAAAATAACTCAATTGAGAAATCGGTTACTGAGTAACTGATTTATCAAAGAAATTTTGAAAAATATTTAAAATTCCTTTAAAAAATCGGTTATCCAGTAAATCAGTTATTCAGTAACTAATTTTTCACCTGAACCTAGAAATAGATTATTTAGTAAATAAAAACGGACCCAGATTATTTAAATAATTGAAAAAAACAATATATTAAAAAATCCCAATATAATCTATTTTTTATATTAATAATAATCCAAAATAGTAAAAACACAGATTCAGTTTCAAGAACTACCTAGTAAGTAGTAACGTTAATAAAAGAATAAATAAATAAATAAATAAATAAAAAACCCGACCTTGTAACAATGTTGGGGGCGATTCGGAGAATGAACACGGTTGCTGAAGAAACAGCGCGCCTCACCAGATTCTCTCTTCACGCCCCAAAATGTGTGAGTTTTTCTCTTTGTTCCCCTTAACCTTCTCCTTTTTAATAATTATCCTTAAATTTTATGGATTTTACTAATAAAAGTCCAACATTAGGTTGCAGTAGATAGGGTTAGTATCTTTTGAGCATGCCTCTGTTGCAATTTGCAACCAAAATTTCGGTTGACATTTTATTGGAAATTGAATGGATGATGTATGATTTATATGATTGCCTCTTTACATAATAATGGGTCATGGAATTCTCTTTGAACCTTTTTGTTGTTTCAGGTAGAGGTGGCATTTGCCAATGGTAGAGTGTTCAATCTATCAGCTGAATTTCTCAGAATAAATAGTCCCGCAGTTGATGGAAAGATTAGGTCAATTGGAGGTGAAAAGGTACTAATGGTTGCAATTGCAACTGTGGAGTGTTTTTCAGCTTTACCATTTAAACATTATTTGCTGGATTTTCATCGATCAGATACCACTTAATTGTTGAATTAGGATTTGGGCTTATTTATCATTATAAGCACTTGTAGAAGTGATTGAGACAACGTATGAAAATAGCTTATGATATATATATATTTAAGAAGCTGTTTTAGGCTTATTTCAATAAGCCCTTTAGGATAGATTGTGAAAACAGTTTAATCCTATTTTTTTCTTTAATTACAGAAACAACTTATACATAAGTGCTTATATGATAAGCACTTAAGTCCTGTTTGGATAAATTTTTTCATAAACACTTATAAAAGAAGAAAATAAAAAGCAAAATAAATCAATTTTTTCCCATAGGATAAAATCAGCGTATGTGTTTTAGTTTTTAAAGAATTTATACAAGAGAGCTATTATAAAAGTTAAGTGCAGGGTGAAGTTTAATTCATTTTATCTTCTTATTTTCTTTTCTTTTAAATGAAAGCTTGTGAAGAAGTTTATCCCAACATGGTCTCATTTAATGAGCACTTAAGTGAGTTATTTACCCAAATACACCCAATAACCATATCCTTTCAAATAATCATTTTTGAGATTTTGAATTGAATTCTATTGATTCGTTTCTAATGATACTTCCTTGAACCAGGTGATATCTGGGAGGCGCCATGTGGGAATCATGTCTGCAGAACCAGTGGGAAACTATGGGGTGAGGTATTACTGCAAGCTTTGATATTAGATCCAAATTTAGTTTCAATATTTAGTTGCCCATATAAACTAGAATGTGATTCATGATTGTTGAATTCGTGGTCCAGACTAAATTTTGATGACTTGCATAAGACTGGTATTTATTCCTGGGATTATTTCTATCATCTTGGATGCAACAAGTTTACCCTTATGAGAAATTACATTAAGACATTGAAGAAATATGGTCTTAGTCGGGATCCACGAGGAAGGAAATGATGCAGACTACAGTTCAATCACCCAAATATAGTTGTCATTTGTCAACATGACACTGTTTGCTTCATTTGTTGAAAATGAAACCTGCAATGTTGAAGGTTTGAAGTTGAATGAAACGTGAATTATTTGCATCCCTTTTTTGTTTTTTTTTTTCCTTATGAGGAAAGGATCATCTATCTGCAAAGGCAGATCATTTTCTGTAGAGCCCTTGATTTCCTTTTGGAACATGTTGTATTTTAATTATTGTACATCTTCGTAAGCCATATTCATGTATTAGAATTTTTAATATTTTAAATTCTTGTGTTTTGGTCATTCTGCCTAAACCCATATATCTTCTTTCAGCTTGCTATTAAGTACACCTTGGAAGGTCCAATCCAATGAACATGACTATTGACTGAGAAAGCACCAGATTTTTTATTTGTTTATTTAGTTCTGTAAAAATAAGCTAACACAAGAAAAAGCAAATATTTCTTTAAAAAGTTAATTTTAAAAAAAAACTAAACTTTAAAGATGCTTGATTTGTTGAGCTAGTCATATAGAGGCGCTGGATATATCAATTCAAACACTCGATATTTAAATCTAATGTTTAGATCAAGTCTTCTACTGTATATTTGAATAATTTGATCCATAAAATGATGATAAATTTACATTATTAAAGATCAAATTGATGAAAGATACGATACCTTGTATATCGATCAAGGATGAAATTTATATTTCACTTGTAATTTTATTTGTTATTTAGAAAAATGTGATTATAATAATATTAATTTGATTTTTTTTTGTACATACAATAATCTGATGTTTGTTTATATCTAAAACATTGTTAAAGTTATAGAACAATTTTAAATTATGTTATTTTGTACTTCACTTTTTTTTTTCTTTCAAGGATTTCAAATATCCGGATTAGAATAAATTATAACTTTCCCTAAAATAAATAAGATTTGACAAAAGAAAAATAAGCAAGTTTAAGAAGTGGGTTGCTACGTATTAATATACATTTGGACACTAATAGTAATACATAACTTACGTTTAAATATATCTTTATTGCATTAAAGGGATAAATGGTTAAAATCTGTTTGATCGACTATGAACATTTTTTAGAATATTTATAATTATTACCTGAAAATCAAAAAAATATATTACATTAAATAAGTAAATAAAAGTAAAATAACATTTTTATTACATTTAAATTTTATTTTTAATTCAAAAATGTTAATTTCTTTAAGTCTTTTTATGGAAAAAATTTCGTAAAAAACATTTAAAAACCATGAGAAAAATTAACAATTCTATACAAAACTTATGTAAAAACGAAAAACATTAACAATTTCATAGAAAACTTAAAAATCATTCTTAAAAATTAATATTTTTATAAATATTATTTTTTAAATAGCAAATCAAATATAGAAAACTAACATCCCTAAAATTAAGAGTAAAACTTTTGATATACTAAACATCCCGCAAAGGTTCTCATCTCTAAACATCCAAAATGTTTAAGTAATATTACATGCTCTCCGTTGTAATAAGGGTTTTGCCTTTGTCTAACGTTTCCTCCACCCCTTTTAATACAATGTGGTCCAGAGGGTTCTGTTTGTTTTTGTCTAAAAAAGACAAAGGGAGCTTGATCACAAAAGTTGGCAACATATGACTTTATTTACTACAATTCCCTACGAGCTGAATTAGATGTAAATTGTAAGCCACAAATGGACAAAATATTATGTGAATGTGGAATATGTTTCCATATCCCCATCCAAATATTGGGATAGGATAGGCTGCTAAAGAATTTTATGGAAAAGTCTAGATCTCACCAAGAACCCAAGTCACAATCACAAGACAAGATTTTTTAAAACTTATGGAAAAGTCCAGAAATCTCCAATGCATCTTATAAATTTAAATGCAGAGTAACATCAGTTTCTCAATGTCTTTTGCCTTACCATAGCATTGACATCCCTCTAGCGTCTTTGTCTAACAAGAAAAATGGCCTCAGCTCTACCAAATATGAGTTTCTATGCCCACACTTCATCTATTAGAATGAACAAACTTTCCAATGTAAAATTGCTACCATTGTCAAGCACAATAAATAGAACTTTCTGCAACAATGTAAAGGCTACGGCAGGAGGTGAAGCAAGTCTGCAGAAGTCAAGGCAGCAGCAGCAAGTGCAGCCAAAGATGAAGGTGCCACAAGCTTCACCTAAAGGTAATTGAAGATTAATGGTTCACAAATTCTTTTTTAAGTTTAATACACCATTTGATCCATGAGTTTTTTAAAAAAATTTAAATTAGCTTTATAAATTAAAAAAATGTAATTAACTTCATCTTTTATATTTTTATAATTTAGTCTTTGATATTAGAAATTTATTTATAGTCCATAAAATTTCAAAAAATAATTTTAATATTCGCACATAATATTTATTTAGACAATTATATTAGATTATTATTTTGTATTATCATCTATATCTATTAAGACTTTTATTTTATGTAATATAAACAAATTTCTAATTTTAAAAATTAAATTAAAAAATATAAAAAAAATATATGAAAGGTTTAATTACGATTTCTTTTGATTTAGGAATCTAATTGAAACATCTGAAAAAGTTTAAGGATCAAATGATGTATTAAATCTACTTTTTATTTCTTTATTTGACATTCAAAATAAAATCTATTTGGATATAAATTAAAAACACAACTCTACTGAAAATAAATAATATTTTTTAATATAAAAATCCTCAAATATTTCTAACTCTGTATCCAAACAGACTAATAGTGACATCGAAAGCTGAAAAATGATGACTCTTTATGCAGTGCTGTTAAACCAGTTTCCAGTAGCAAGGACTGTGCAGCAAATGATGGACACAATGGAGAGAATGGTGGAGGATCCCTTAGTTTATGGTAGCATTTCACCTTGGATAGTTCCAGGAGATGATGAATACAGTAAGGGAAAGATTCCTTGGGCAATCAAGGAAGGGCAGGAAGATTACAAAATGAGATTCAACATGCCAGGAATGAACAAGAATGATGTCAAGGTATGGGTAGAAGAGAACATGCTGGTGGTGAAGGCAGAGAAGGCAGCCGGCAAGCACTGTGAAGGTCAAGTGAGCGAAAATGAAGACTGGCCTGCCAGTAGCTATGGTAGATACAACCACAGGATAGCCCTCCCAGAAAATATTGAGTTTGATAAAATTAAGGCACAGGTCAAAGATGGAATTCTTTATGTAGCAATTCCCAAAGCAACCACCTCCACAAAAAAAATTGACATAGATGTACAGTAACTCTTAAGATCATAAAAAAGGTTGATTCACAGCCACATTCAGTTTTTGTTATCGAATTTCATATGTAAGGGATAAAATGAGACCTTATTCCCCCTACACAACCATCATGATGACATAAATTTCGGCAGGAAATTCTCAAAAAACATTTAAAACAAATCACTGTAGATGATGTGAAAAGGTTTACATAATAAATCCTGATCAAGTTAGTAAACAAATTAAGAATACATTGCAAATGCTCGTGTTATTTCTCTTGTTAGTAATGTCATGCACAATCAAATGCAAATAGCCAACCAAGGCAGATTCAGTCATGCAGCCACTTTGTGTACACAAAGTTTACAAGAATTTGGCTTACAAACTAGCAAAACGCATAGTGGTCATTTGAAGTTGACAATCTCTTTCTGCCTTCAAACGTATACTCCAAATAGCAGAATGGTGTAAACAGGATTTCCAGTGCAGTTTGCACTGTATCCATTAGTTACACTTTTACATTCTGAAAATAAAGGTTGATTTCACGTGCAGTTCACACCGTATCCACTAGTGACACCTTTACTTTCTGAAAATGTAGGTTGAGAACTTTGTGGATAGAACAATCAATTAGGATGGCTTTTTCTTTCTGCTGGCTTGTGAGATGCGCTTCAGCATTTGAGTTTCCCTTTTCATTCCTCTGTAATACAAAAGACTAAACTTTATTGGTATAAAGTTTCCTAAAATAAGGTCGTAACTGAGAAGTTATAAAGTATATACCTCTGATATAAGTAAATGTAGAGATAGTATAGTAGCAGCAGTATCACAAGCAAAATAGACACGACGATGTAGAACACATTTGTCTTATTCTGCACAAATCAAGAAACCAGTCAATGAAAAATTCTCTTATTTTCAGCCAGCAGCTTGACTTCAAGGGAATTGCATCCCACAGATATATTTCCACTATTCCACCACAAAGTTGAAAATATCATGTTGACCTTTATTGTCTTTTCTTCACCAACACATTCAGTGAGATCTACATCCAAAGATCCCTTGTAACAAGTAAATGAGATTTTTTAAAATTTACTTTCCAGTTAGCTATACAATTTTTCAAATTACATTCTTTGTGTTAAACCTTAACCTCAATAAGGATTTCTGAAAATTGAACATCGCTCATATAGAGTTGGACAAATATCATGAGCGCACATAAAAAGTACATGCAAACATAAGATGTGGAAAGAAAAATCAATTATAGATTTTAGAATTACCCTGCGCCCTCTGGAGAAAGGCTTCCTCCTTCCAGCACAGCTGTGTGCATCACAGAATTGGTGCAGGAAGAATTCTATCAAATTGTTAAAATAAGAAATCAGATTCACAAACTACCATAAATACACAAGATTTTGCAAGACTGAAAAAACTATTGTAATACCATGAAGTCGGCTTGCCGTAGGTCCCTCATTGATCGGAAAACAATCATTGGCTAAGCTCTATGAAAAACAGGTAAATTAGTAACACAAATAAATTTGGTCACAGCAAATGAATAGACAGACCAAAAGCACACCTCACATAGAAGTTTATTTCTTGCAGCAGCAGCAGGATTGCACTTTGATTTTTTTGACCCGGAATTGATTTCATGGTCACAGTGCAGTGCACCACATACGTCTGCTAAGCACTGGCTTTCACTCTGGATTGAACATAACTATCTCATTTCAGTAATTAATGCTACTACACCACAGATTGAGCAGAGAAAACTACCAAAATTGTTGAGTTACTACAAGAAAATTTCCAAAGCTAATCATTGTAACATCTCACTGAAATATGTAATTGCTGTAAAATATTATATACTTTTGACAAGTTAAAGAATCAAAGCAACCACGCAAATCAATCCCAACAAGTTTTTTTTTTCCACAAATTTCCTGGGGTGCTTCTAGGTCAAGAGGGGATAACTCTCCAAAGAAAGAAGGAGAGCGTAAAGAGCACAACTCACATTATGAGCCTTCGAACTTGAATGATAAAAGCAAAGATCTGAAGGTGTTGTTATTTTTGGGAAAGTTAGGTCTCAAGGTTTGATTCTCTCAATGAACTATTTCAGTTTGTTTTACTACCAAGCCACAAACTAGTTTCATTATTTTATTTTGTGCTGGACATGAATTAAAGGCTTGTTTGGATAAACTATTTCAGAAGCTCTTCTAGGAGATAAAAATAGGAAAAAAAAAAATGAAATAAACTTCTCCATCAGCTAATTTATACAAGTTTTTTTCCTATTAGCTTCTCCAAAATCTTTATTTTATGCATAAGCTAGTTTTAGCTTATGGAGAAGCTTATTCAATTTTTTTTTTCTCCTAAAAGTTTTTCTGAAAATGTTTATCCTTAGGGCATGTCCTTAAATGTTAGACTTGGTTATAGCTTGAGCTAATACAAGTTTGAAACAAGCTTTTTGCAAAGCTTGACCAGCAGAATCTTCTCAAGGCAATGGTAAGCAGTACTGTAGCTTCACTTTGGTACTATTACAACTCCATGTTCCTCATGAAATGACCATAATAATGTCACAAAATACAATATTCAACTAAATAATGACTGATGGCATTCTGATTATTCAGTATAATCCAATTTGTATCTTTTCAAATACATGATGAATGTTTTTTTCCACTAACTAGTCATTTTATTTTTTCCACTAAGGGAGAAAAAATAAATCGTATTGAACAAGAAGCATCATACCAAATTAAGCAAATTGGAGTGTCTGTTGTCAAAATGCTGATCAAGATGTTTCTCTTCATAGAAACTTTTCTTACAGTACCCACACTGCCATTCATTTATGTCTATATGAAACTTATGTTGCTCCTGATCTCTGTAAATGTCATTGTCAGGGTGAATCCTACACCTTTTTGAGATATGATATTTTTCTTTCTCCACAAAGGGCATCAAATACTGCAGCAAAAATCATGTATCAAAAGAAAGCAAACTGATACCATCAAGAGAGTTACTTGGCTGGATATATTATAATACCTCTTGAATGATCTTCCAAGCTGCCCTACTTCTTTCTCTAGAACAATGTATTTGATGATCACCACCTTCCTGATTCAAAGTTCTGAATAGTGACATTATATATTAGCTACACCAATTCCTGGAATAACAAGCAAGAAAGGCACAAAGACTGAAAGAAAGTAAAATAAGGCTGAATCACCTATTTTGTCCCTGAAAGTGTTAGGAGTTGTCACTTTAGTTCCTAGAACTAAGGAAACTCAAAAAACATACTTGGAAACTACAACTCGTCAATCACATCACATTAGTCCAACCGTTACATGCAATGTGCAACTTAAGTGATAATATTAACATATGTTAGTGACAAAAATGATAGGAAGTGATTAAGTTTAGGAACTTGGATGAAACGGACAATGGCTAGTAGTTCCAAGGATTTATTGGGAATTTCCTTAGTTTCAAGGACCCATGTAACAATGCTTAACACTTTCAAGGACCAAAATGTGATTTACCCAAAAAAGAAGGAAACAAATAAACAAAGCAAATCAATTACTGACATGAGGAAACAAATGATGGGAATTTACCACATACGAGTCCCACACCATTTAAGTAATTTATTTCTTCACCCTTACCAGTAATTGAATAACCAAAAAGTGAAGCAGTTAACTTGAAAATGAGGTTCTCCTAGTTTAAAATACTTCCAATCAAAGTAAAACTCACTCACCTTCCAGCATTTGAATCTACATGACCCTGGAACAAAGAAACAATTGAAGGTTTACTTTTATACTCTAAGAAAAAATAAGTGCAGAAGTTTGCATTTTGGGACAAAACATAACCAGGACCTAATTTTGTAGCCAGAGATAATTCCAAACAAATGGAAGGCAAAACTAATTTAAGAAGTCAGTAGTTCTGCAGTGATTGATTGAAAAAACATGCAGATCAATAATAATGTCTAAAAAGGAGGTAGCTAAATAACAAGAATTAAAACACAGCATGTCTTCCAAATTTTGAGTAAATCACACTAGTGATATCTTCAGATATAGTGTTCAAAAGCTAGGAGGCAACGATGGTATTGTTGCACAGCCAACTGAGATAAAGCCAATCTGCTTCAGCTGGACCGACAATGGTTCCATCCACAAACCCATTTTGTTCTTCGCCATTAAGGTCATCTTCATGGCTCTATGCCAAAGAATTGAAGTTCTCACCGGTGAGTGGCTGCGACACAAGAATCAGACCAGAGCTCTCATGGAATTGATGCCAGATGCAGAAAGCATGAGGTGAAATCATAGGAAAGAATCAGAGTAGATGACTAAGAATGAGCTCAAGAAGAGGCATAAGTTTCTCCTAACACCATATTTAAGTTTAGAACGTGCAAGTAGAGGAGAGAATTGAGAAAACATTCTTGATTGAATTGACTTCCACAAAAGAGTTACAAATGTGTATTTTTATATCTCACTACAGCTGATCCCATCTAATTAACCGAACGAACAACTAACAGTAACAGGAACAAAACTGATAACTAAAAGTTGAGTTGTAGTACGAACTTCTCATTTCTCTAAAGTACAAAATTCCACAAATTAAGCCATTGATTACTCCAGAAAATGAACCAAGTCCTTACACATTCACAATTCCATTCCGTGGTAACCCAAATTCAAGCAATCCAAACAGCCCATGGCAACAAAATGAATCTTTCAATAAAAAAAACCCAAGAAACACAGCATGCAATTCTCAATTCCCATTCCTCAAGTAAAAAAATCACACAATAAGCTATTGATTTGTGCAGACTGCATAGTGCAGACAATGAACAGAAAATCCTCAAACACTTAGAAACCATTCTATGCTAAGAATAAATCCAAATCCAAATTCATCCAATACAATCAGCCCATGATTGAATTCAGTAAAATCATCACCAGAAGAAAAATGGGCATTTTCAATAATTTGAGAAAATAGAGAAAAACGCATAAAAGAATCTTTTTTTTGTTTTGTTTTCATAATTACATGGTCAGTGTGCGAAGCAGGTGAGGTTGAAGAAACCCTTCTGAAGTGAAGAGAAAAACTGAGGCCGCAAACAATGCAGAGAAGAAACAAGCGATGATGCCAAATCCACATCTTCTTCATTCTTCCCTTCGATTCTTGTTCCTTTCAAAGCAAGCTCCGAAGAGAAAAAAGTTGAAACTTGCACCGAAAATGTTCTGGTGCAGTACCAGAGCTCGGTGCATCCACGACGCTTTATCCTATCAGAATTTGCCACGTGGCAAACCAGGTAATTGGCTCGCTGCTTCATTGACTTTTGAGGTCTAACATGTTGACCTCGAAATTTACTTTGCTGTTGTTGTATGCTAGGTTTAAGTTTTTCGTTTAAGAAGTGGGTAAAAGATGCGAACAAAAATAGTTATTAAAATAAAATTAGAAGAGAGAATTAAATAAAATGTAAAATCTTCTAAATTTTATGTTTTGTAAGAAATTTTAATTAATTTGAGAGAATATGTTTAATAAAATATATTAGAAAGTGTGTTATTAGTATTTTTTAATATGAAAATTGTTAGACCTAGCATGCATTTATATATTATAATGTTATTTACTTTGTCTACCTGTATATGTTAATGAAGTCTTACAAACTCATACAAAACCAGTTCATTGATAACTTTCTTAGGTTGTTAATTTATTTTTATTTTTAGTTTATTTAATATTCATTGTAAACAAGTATTATTAGGATTTTAAATATGATTCAGTTTCTTTGGGTTCATGTTATTGGTTTCTTATTTTTCTATTTTATTCTTACTTTATTATTTAATATTTTTTTGTAAGCAAATGAGATTATTCATAATGTTTTTTCTTAAAACAATCCAAGTATTATTAGGAATTTAAACTAAGATTAATAAAAATTAATTGTTACCCACGAATATTTTTATTGAAACATACCTACGAATATTTCTGAATGTAATTACTCAAATATTTTTGTTAGTAATTTTTCACAAATATATCTAATACATCTATAGGTAAGTCATGGATTTTGTTTGTGGGTAATATCGAGTTTTGTTTGTCAAGAACTCAAGATCGTTTACTGAGTACCTAGCTTACTTGTTTTTTAGTGTTTTTTTTTAAAGTGAAAAATAGCATTTAATTAACTGATTTGTTTTATTTTGAACTCCTCTTCCATTTTTGTTCAAAACCTCGGACGAAAACCTTTGTATAGGACCGTTACAGTGATTTTCAAAAATATATTTTTACGACAGTAAAATATATTTTTTAATTCAAAAATGATAGATTTTTACTTATCTCATAAGAACAACTTGATAAAAGTCTATATAAAAAAAAACTTTTTTTGCTAAAAATAGCTGAAATTTTCATGTTTTTATTTTTATTTTTTATTTTTTTAATATATTTTTTTGTTGTTGTTTGTAGAAGACAATACAGAGTGTAGTTGATAGTTGGATTACTTAAGTACAAGCTGATGATTTGATTATCTAGACATATATATGAAAAATACATAATGTTTTTTATTTATTTAATAATGTATAAATAATTTATATCAAATCAATCTTATTTAAAAAAAAATAAAAAAAAATAAGAAATTTAAGATTAATCTTCATTATAATCATTTTTATAATTTTTTCTATTCTTATAAAAAAAATATATCATTTTTAAAATAATATATATGACCGCGATTCTATATCTAAATCGAAGAATCAATCTTAATTTTTGGTTAAGTTAAACTAAAGACTTTTGATAATAAAAAAATATTGTTAAAAAAATTTAAATAACATCTTATTAATAATTAGTGCACGACTTCACAAAAAAAATAAAAATAATTAGTGCGCGACTATAGTTAGATATGATATGAATACTTTTTTTTGTGATATAGACATGAACACTTGTTAAAAAAGAAATTATCCTAATTAAAAAGTTAAGACTAATTAAACTCAAATACCTAACATCATTTTTTTGACCCAATCCATGCACACGACATAAAATTTCCAACTAGTGATTCTTCTTCTTACTAGTGAACACTCAATTACCAGTAAAATTTGACTTTGCCTGCACTTTGACGAGGTAAGGATTAAGGAATTTATTAATTCCATATACTCTTGAATGTTTCAATTGTATCAATAGGTTAAATCTTTTGCTCTTATCACACTTGAAAGGACAAGAAAATTATATATTTGTTCAGAAATAAGAAAATGAAAGTTGAAGAAAAAATACAAAGCCATTTAGATAGAAACTAGCACAACACCCATGAGGATTCACATTGTTCAATGAGTATTACAAGATTAAATAAATAATTAAAAACAAGAAATAATGTATATAATGATATAAGATAACAGAATTTCAACAATTTAGTTACTATAATATAAGAAAAGTAGTGTATAAAGTTTGTAAGTTATAATATTTTCATAACTAACTACAAAACTACAAAATTTTAGTAAGCAAAATATTTGGGATTCATGTCAAAATCCAGTTTTGCTATTCTTTTTATTCCTTAAAACATGAGTCAAAAATGAATTATAATTAGTGACTCAATTAAAATTGTTAGTTTTAATTACTTAGATAAAAAATAATACAATAAAAAATACACCTCATAAAAAATTTATTTTGTATAATATATATTGTAATGATTTTTTTTTTCACAAACAATTCAGGAAAGTCTTTATATTATATTATACTCTATATATAATCATTATAATGTTAATAATAACATCATAATTTAATGATTAATTTGACACATTTTGAAATTTATTAGAAGTTGGGACAAACCTCAAATTCTTATGAATGTTTTATAAAATTACTTATAAATTATCTATCAGACATAGCAAAAGAAGTCGTTTGTACTTTATTCCTAATAATAATAACACATTACTATTAAACTCATTCATTTGTTTTTGATGATTCAATTAAGACAAATTCACTTATTAATCCCATTTTCTTCCGAGCATATTGTAACTTAATTATTTAAATGTCATAGATAAATGCTAACATGTTACACATAATTTAATCATGTTATTAATTACGATCTTAATTAACATAATTTTTAGACTAGCAAGTAGCAAATGTGAAAGAAAAGAAAAACTTCAACGTAGTCTATTTCTGACATAACGGGACCACTTTGTGTTCTCTGATAAGTTTAGCAAAAAATTAATTCGAAAATTCATACAATCTTGCAAAATAATGATGATCTACGAATTATGGATTGCAAACCATAAATTAATGAACCCACTTTACCAAAGTTTATTGCCTCTTTTCTTACTCTAAATAATTTTCATAATCTTTGTTTACGATCTGCAAATTTTTTCATTAGGTGATATATATGCTAATATGCATTAAAAATGTTTGTAATAATAGAAAATTACTAAATTAGTTGTAATGCCTTTTATTTAAAAAAAAAAAATCTTAAAAAAGCACAAAAGCAGACCCAGATTAAGTTTCAAAATTATCTAACATTACCAAAAATAAGATTGAGTTTTTTTTTTATTTTTGTTTTTTTTAAAAAGTAAGATATTACGTCAACGTTTAAAATTTCATGTGTTTGATTTGTTGTGGGACCCGCTGCAAATGCTACTTTATCCGTTTATCGCTTTTATTAGGTAAGAAAAATGTCTCTGATTTGTAGGTGTGCAGATTCAGAACTATTAAAAAAATATTATTCATATTATCCATCAACTTAACTTTCACATAAAAATCATAAAACAAAAAACAAAGAAGATACGTACTTAAGAAAAAATAAGTTTATTATCGGATTTCATTTAATAAAGTGGAAATATATTCTATATGAATTTAATTTTGTAAATATTTTATAATATCAACTAATTAAAAATTATTATATATATTTTATGAATCTTATTATTTTTTGTACTAAAATGAATGATCTTATTGTTATATACCAGTAAGGAACAGGACACATTGAGTCTCCATTAAATAAAAAACAAAGTTTGACAATTAATTTTGATGATGTGAAGGGTTACTTGAAAAATATGAGATTTTAAAGTTAAATTTTACGGATGTCAAATTCTTTTTTTTGACAATAAAATAAAAAAATGGTTAAAATTTAAAAAGTAATTTATATATATATATATATATATATATATATATAATTTAATTTGCTTTGTAAATATCCTCCTCCCTCCTTTGTTTCCTCTCTTTCACATTCATTATCCATTGAACCTCATACTCCTAATATCTACATGTCTCTTACATCTTTAAAATCAAATAAATAATCGAGTACAGAATATGTATTTTATTTTTAAATTTAAATATTATTTATCTTTATTATTTTTTTGTATTTTCTTCAATGTTTTTAATCTCTTTTCATTTACTATATTATTTTCACATTTATTTTAATATATTTTTGAAAAAATATTATTAATAATAAAATAATTTTATATCACAATATAAATTATTTATTTTAAATCTAAAATATAATTTATATATTTAAA